GCCAGCGGTTGAAGGCTTTCCTCCAGTCATCCCCAATATTCATTCACAGCGGCAGAGAGAACGGTTACTATAACAATTGGCGTGGAATACGGGTATTTGGCCCCCTCGGCCCACACTTATGACTAAGTATAAACTAGGCTGAAGCTGAACCCACGGAGGAGATGAGGAACTCTGTCCGTGGTATTTCAGGGCGCTATCACTTCGAGGGGGAGAGGAGATACGAGCTGTGTGGCGGGTGTTCAGGCGTGCCAGGTGTGGACCCCAGCCAGATCCCAAGCCCAAAGCAGGAGCCAAACAGGGCCCTGCAGGTTGCCAAATCTTTGGGGGGGGCTGCACAGACGTAGCCCCCCTCACAGGCTCTCAGACAAGGCCGGACTGCTTCACCCACAGGCTCCCTTGATTGTAGGCCACCCGAAAGGCCTCAGATTCCCGGAGCGGTAGCTAGGGGGCTGATGGAGGGCACCACCCTCCCCCAGCAGCTCACCACTCCAGGAAGCAGCACCCAGATGGGTCAACAAGCGTTAAGACTTTTTTTTTTTTTTTTTTTTTAATGCAGGGTATGCATACACCAAACCCCCCCCCCCCCCCCCCCCAACCCTCATATTAAATGTACTGCAAGGGGGGTGGCAGGTGCAGGAGCAGCATTCAATGTAAGTTGTGGCTTCTGGTTTTGGGGCTTGCATGCTCGCACCCCCTGCCTGCAGATCTGTGTTGTGATTGGACAACGCACAGGTGATTTTGGTGAGATGCACGCACAGGGTAGGGACTCGTGGGCTGTTCAGTTGGGATGCTAAAGGCAACAACCCCCCCCCCCCCCCATTTTGGATAGCGTAGGGGAGGGTTATAACCCCTTTTTGGTTCTTTTGCCATCTGTATCCACTTCAGGAGTTTTCACTTCCTGTCCCATAACCAGGATAGCGAGGAGATCCCTCCAAAAAGAGGGTATCCCTGGTTGTCACCCGAACCAGTGCCCGTATTGGAAGGTTCCCCCTCCTGTTCTGGGGACAAGCCTAAATTTGGAATGTTCTTTCACTGATCACTGTAACAGATGAATCCGGAGGGTGAATCTCCTAACAGGTGTTCTAATCCCTCTCCGCTGCTTCCAAAACCTAACATTTGTTTGCCTTTAGTCACACTTTTAGATTGCAGAATGCTTTGCTAGAGAAACCTGCAACAAATGGGGGGTTTAGGTGTCAACTTGTTAATAGCCTGTGGGATCCTGACGTCAGGGTGCCCAATGATCTCCTGGTGTCTGCTAGGACAGTGGCGCTGTACGCCGCCCCCCACAGGGGCATTTCCAATGTCCCACCTGTTTGTTACAAAGAGAATGCTAGCTGCAATTCAAAGGACTAGAACCCTAAACACCCCCTCCCCCATTTTGACGACCTTATCAGACTTGGCTATCCAAGAACAATACCTGCCCTCTATTAATGCTGGTTGTAGAATGTGATTGGCCAGTGTGGACCAAACGTGTCCAGATTGATTCTTTTTCTTCCCCTTCTGTAACCTGCATACGTTTCCTGACCTTTTTTTGGTATTTTTCCTTTAGTACAGTGGTCTCTAAACCATGGCCCAGGGGCCAGATGGGGCCCTTAGCTTGACTTTATCCAGCTGTTGGTATCGGTGGATGAAAATCGTGCCCCAACAGTGGGGCACAATTGCTCCCAGTGACACCAAAAGATGGGGCACAATTGCTCCCAGTGACACCAAAAGATGGGGCACAATTGCTCCCAGTGACACCAATAGATGGGGCACAATTGCTCCCAGTGACACCAAAAGATGGGGCACAATTGCTCCCAGTGACACCAATAGATGGGGCACAATTGCTCCCAGTGACACCAATAGATGGGGCACGGTTGCTCCCAGTGACACCAAAAGATGGGGCACGGTTGCTCCCAGTGACACCAAAAGATGGGGCACGGTTGCTCCCAGTGACACCAAAAGATGGGGCACATTAACCACTTCAAGTCCAGACACTTTTACCCCCTACCTGTCAAGGCCAATTTTCAGCTTTCAGAGCGGTCACACTTTGACAATTGCGCGGTCATGCAACACTGTACACATATGAATTTGTTAGCATTTTTTTGAGACAGATAAAGCTTTATTTTGGTGGTTTTTATTCACCTCTGGGATTTTTATATTTTTTTGCTATATAAATGAAAGTCCAAAAATTGAGAAGTTTTTTTCTCATAAAATTTTTGCAAATAAATATTTCATCATAAATCTTGGCCAAAATGTATTCCGTTTTTATGTTTTTAGTTAAAAAAAATAACCCAAATTAGTTTATAACCAAAAATTATAGTTTTAAAACTTTTTTTTTTTTTTTTTTACTTTTTATATATTTTTTTTTTTTTAAACATACTGTCACCCTAGCCGTACAGTGTCACCATGGTGACAGTATGAAAAACCTTTTTTATTTTTTTTTTACAGCCTTTATGGGTATAAAAGCAATCATTTCTCCTCTCTGGCTGCATTCTTGCAGCCATTGAGAAATACTGTGAGAGCTGTGATTGGTCACAGCTTGTCACATGGTACAAATCTGTTGTGAATAGCCCTGTACCATGTGACCTCCTCTGTGATCATTCACAGATTTCACACGTAGTAAGCAATGATGTCAGAAGTGACATCTTGCTTACTACTCTGCATGTGATCACTGATTGGCCAATCGGTGATCACATGAATCGGGACCTCACACAGAGGTCCCGTACAACGATCGGTGTTCCACTGTGTCTGGAGGACACAGCGGGCACCGGATCGCGGTGCTGCGCACTCCCAGGGAGCGCGCACAAGCAGGGTGTGGAGAGGCCGTTTATAAACAGCCACCCGACCCTGCACTGCCATCGTCCGGCCGTTTATATACAACGGATGGACGGGAGGTGGTTAACACAACCGATGGGACACAGTTCCTTACACTTGACACCAAAAATGGGGCACTATTCCCCCCCCCCCCGCAGTAATACCAAAGATTGTGTGTGTGTGTTTGGTTTTTTTTTTTTTTTGTTTCCCTCCCCACTGATGTCGGGACCTTTTTCTACTCCCATTGGTTAGTCAGGCCCCCCTTAACTCTGAAGGACCGTAAACCGACCCTTTGTGTTAGAAAGTTTGGGGACCCCTGATTTAGTACATTAATGTATCTCAACTTTAGGTGACTGGTTATATACTGCGGGGAAATGCGTGCGTTTTACTTTTTAAGGGTCCGTTTACACCAGATGCAGAATGAGTGGTTATTCCAACGCAGCCCCACCACATGACAATGCAAACTGCCTTGTCTCCCGTGTGCCCAGTTCATACCCCTGCGTTGCAGTAGTGTGCGGGCACGGTGCGCAAAGAGTAGTGTATGCACAAGAGGCACCGTCCTGGCCAATTGACCTTATTGAAATCCAAATTTGACAGGTACCCGCTCCCACTTCCACTGCGTTCGCCTCTCGCACTGTAGTCTTGCGGGACACATGACAGGTCCCAGAAGACTACGGAGCCATTCACAGAGCGCAGCGGGCACCCACGGTGAAGTCACAGCCGGGTGCCCACACTAAAGGTGATGAGGACATCGCTGGACGGAGGAGCAGGTAGGACGGAGGAGCAGGTAGGACGGAGGAGCAGGTAGGACGGAGGAGCAGGTAGGACGGAGGAGCAGGTAGGACGGAGGAGCAGGTAGGACGGAGGAGCAGGTAGGACGGAGGAGCAGGTAGGACGGAGGAGCAGGTAGGACGGAGGAGCAGG